ACCTGGTGGTGGGATTTGGTTGCACATCTCAGGGCTGGGGGCTCGGAAAGTTTCTGTCTCCCTCGATTCTGAAATCCTTCCCTTGGGAAACCACTGGATAGGACGGTGCTGGAGGCTTTGCAAGTTTCACTGGTTTCTCCTGTTGTCCGGGGAATTCTGCTGCCGACATTCGCTGCTCCACACGTTCCTTTTTGCCAGGGGCATGCTTTTTCCTGCGCATTAGGTTGCTGCTTTTAAAATGTTTTGCTTGGAGTGAGCAAAGCGTTATCAATTTTCTCCCCCAAATTGGTCTCCTTAGTTTTGTGGTTTTTTCCCCCCACCGAAATGAATTCACCTCCTGATATTTTGGTTTGTCAGGTTGAGAGACTGGTGTTTTCAGAACCTTAGGGAAGAGCCCTACAGGCTGCAGGTTCATGTGGAATGACGGAATTACAGTGATTTTTAAAAAGTGCCTCACACTTCAGTGTCTTTTTAGGGTCTTTTCAGTTTTTCTTTGAGAGCTTGGTAGTCATCTCCTGGTGAGAAAATAGCTCTTGACCGTGCCTTTGAAATGGAAAGGAAATGGAGAGACTGACACATGAATGAGAAAAATTAATCACGTGGAAACTTCACTTTTAAATTTGTGTTTCTTGCCCTCTTTCTTTTGTCTAAACAGAACCTATGATTTTAAGTGCTCCATTTTCTTCTTGCTGGGTCTTTATTGAAAAATTGAGCAATATTCTAATTAGCGTGGAAGCCTATAGAAATAAAAACTATTTTTCTCTTCTCAGTTCTCATATATTTGAGGTCATTCTTTTAAATTAAGAAATTCTGCAAATAATTATATCATCCAAGTATTCAGAAATGAACGTTCTAGTCAGTTTGGTGAAATACCTAATATAAAATTTATAGTATCTTTAAAAACCTGAGCCTTCTGGAATGTTTAAAAACACTTCTTACTTGAAGATTCTTATGAATGGTTACAGATGAGAAATGTAATTGGTGAATGTGAAATTTAATTTAGCTCACTTAACAAAGTATATTGCAAACAATCTGAAATGTGGCTTTCAAGTAAAAGTCACATTTGTCCCAAACAATAGAGAAACAGGCCTTGAAGAAAGACAGACACACTTTGCAAATGCTATAAAGGAGTTTGTAGCTGTCCATGTGGGTGGATAATTCTGGGGCTTATCTTCTGTTGTTGTTATGCATTCTGAAAGGCAGGTGACTTCTAAATTCATTGTAAATTTAGATTCTTACCATAATAAAACATAAAGTAGTAGAAAATGTAGATATAGCAATAAAATAGAAAGTCTATAAGCATATTACAGTAAAAATGATTCATTTTTAGTCATTAGGAATCATAGGAAGCAAACCACACCTGTGTGACAATCATTTTGAAATAAGAAAAAGTTGAGATCTGGGTTCAAAATTTTAAACCTCCCCAATGTATTTTGTGGGCTGTTTATTTTTCTTGGTCTCGTGAAAAAACATCAACTCTGTCACTCCTAGGAAGTTTAGATATCTCTCCTAAAAAGTGGTTAAGGGAAAGAAAAGAAAGAAGTTGAGACTGAATTTGTGCCAGTTTATGGAGATGAGCTAAGTGACTGCGCTCAGACGAACTCATCTATTTACGTACATTTCAGAATCTCAGAAAATTGGCAAGCGAGCTAGTGTTGGGATAATGGCCGTGAGGATTTGCAGAGTGCCTTTTTTGTTGTTGCAGTAAAGGTTTTTGTGTTTTTCTCATTCTAGATCTGTTGCTTCATCTTGAGTGAACAGTGGTGAGAGGAAATTTTGCAGGGCTCACTTTTCCTTTCTCCACAGGCCAGCAGTAGTCATATCTGATCAATAAAGATGACAGAGGGAGTGTTGATACAGTTTCCTGAGCCTGATTCTAGCAGGCACCCAGTACAGGAACTGAGACATCAGAAACGTCATGACTTTGCCATTGATCACAATCGCTGAAAACCAGAATATACAAGAACCATGTTCTCTAATAACTCGGTGACTTGTTGGCTTGGTTCTTCCTGATGATCAAGATTGGGGACCTACCTGGGAGTAGGTGAAGTTGGGGGCTAGCAGAGGATAGGGAGGGAGGGCAGGAGGAGAGAGGGAACCACATCCAGCCAGTGAGGGGCAGGCTCTGCTTGGACAGACTCGCATTCCACAGCAGGGCTAAAAGCCCAACCCCCCTTCCCTCTTTTCCTTGCACCCCAAGTTCATGATGACAGACACAGAAGAGCAACAGCTTTCATCCCGGTGCAGGCAGCTCTGTGTGTGGAGGCTGCCTGCCCTTGAATGGCAATGCCATTAAATGAAATTGCCTTTTATTTTTTTCTAAGTTTCTTTTCAGTACTGACAAGTTGGAGGCAGAGAACCCAAAAGCAATGTTTTCAGAAGGCCTTGCTCTCTTACAGAAATATTTCAAGTGATGATTTTAATTAATCCGGCTGCCTGTTTTTAAAATCATCAGATAAATGCTCACAAGACTCTCATCTTTCAAGAGCTTAGCTGCTGCCTGTCAGATTCTAAACTCTAAAAAGCTTGATTCTTGCAGTGCCCAAACTAATCCTTGTTCAAATTATGTCTTCAGAAGCTGTCAGTCTTGCTAAATGATACATTTGGGTCTGGGCTGAAGACTTCCATAATGTCCAAGTGAATTTCAGGAAAGAGCTCAACATAGGACCAAATTCACCTTTACCCAGGGCTCTTCAACCCATATGTGGGAACTTCCAGTACTCTTAAGAAACCATCCAGGATTGCAGGCAATGTATATATTTAAATATGTTTTTATTGACTTCAGAGAGAGGAAGGGAGAGGGAGAGAGATAGAAGCATCAATGATGAGAATCACTGATCAATTGCCTCTTGCACGCCCCCTACTGGGGATCGAGCCCCAAACCTGGGTGTGTGCCCTAACCTGGAACTGAACCGGCAACCTCTTGGTTCATGGGCTGACACTCAACCTCTGAGCCACACTGGATGGACTAAACTTCAAATTAAAACAAACAAAAAAAATATTGATTTTAGAGAGAGAAG